GAGCAGAGGCCAGGCCGTGGCCCAGGAGCACTGCGACACCCCTCATCTGGCTCAGGAAGCTGCGGGTGCCCGGCTGCACCCCGTGGCAAGGGGAGGCAGGGGCACCAGGCTCCAAGGGCTGGTCTCGTCTGCCACAGGGCTGCATAATTAGTGCTGATGGATGAAGGGGACAGCTCTGCTCGGACCCCATGCAAATGCTGTCCACTCCTGGAGCAGTTTTGGACAAAAAATACCCCTCTGCTGCAGCCCAGCATAACCAGGAGTAACAACCCCGCAGCCCTGTCACCGGGGACCATTACCCTGAGCGCCCAGGGTGCTGTGACCACAGTAGCAGCCCCTGTGCTGGGCCAGCCTCTGCACCAGCAGCTGGCAGAGCGGGGCACCCCGTGCCCATTGCACCCAGGCCCTGGGCCCAGGAGTGTCTTAGCAGCAGGGGCACGCCGCTGCCCACCCTCAGAACTTTGCTGCAGCGCAGCAACCTCTCTCTGCAGGCCAAGGGCTGGACACAGCCCTGTTACACTTTCCCCAGGAGGATGTGCATGACCAGCAGCTCGGTGCAGGCAGCGGCATGGGGAACTGGGATAGAAGGAAGAGCAAAGGTGGGGTTACCTCAAAAGAGGCCATTTGAGGGGTCACTGCTTCCCCCTTTTCAGGCTGGCTCGTTTCACTATCTGAGCCCCCATCCTGCCCCCGGAGACCTCCGGTTTCGGGACACGCACTCGCACCTCCTCCTGAGGAAGCCGCAGGGGCAGGAAGCAGGACATCACCCCGGTGAACAGACAGACATAGAGAAGAGGACAGGAGAGGGAAAGGCAGAGTCAGTTGGCAGAAGACACCGAGCAAGAAGACTGGTGCAGTGGGCAAGAGCTGCCCCTGGAAGCCTTAGAGGGGAAACAGGAGAGGAAAGCAGGGCAGAGGAAAGGATAGAGGGTGGCAGAGTCCCAGAGCTCGCGAGTCCTGCAGAGACGGTGCTGGCCCCAGGCAGGGTGCCTGCAAGGCAGGGCTATAAGCCACACTGTACCTTGGCCCCCAGACTGTCCCGGTGCAGGATGGAGTATTTCATTAAGTGATTGTCCTCAGCCTCCAGGTCTTGGGGCTCCTGCAGGGAGCCCTCCAGGATCAGCTCCTCCTGCTCCTGCCTGTGATCCGTGTCACTGGGGCCCAGCTGACGCACCACCTTCCGGATGACCTGCGGAGACCCGCCAGAGCTGGGCATCACAGCTAGCCCCCAGGCACCATGCCTCCCTCCTCACCCAGCCTGGCCCTGAACCACACGTGGTGTGCAGCCTCTGTCCCCTGTGCACGGTCTGGCCGGAGAAGTGCCGTGACCGTAACCGAAGACGGTGGGACGCGGGTGCCCTGCATGGGCCCCTGGGCTGCAGGGAGAAGCAGAGCAGCCGGGCAGAGGGGACAGGAGAAAGGCTGCAGCACACCCTTGCCCACACCATGCCCTTGATCACTCACCTTCTTGGTGATGATATTGCCTTGATCATCTGTGAACTGCTCCTCAGTCACCTGCTCTCCGGGGAGATGAAAGCCTTCGTTTCCCTGCAGCAACAGGAGGGACATCAGGGCATTTCAGGGGGGTGAGGGGAGCCCCTTTGCAGGCAGAACAGTACACCTGACATGCACCCCACAGCCTCCATCTCCCACCCTGCCCCGTCCCTTCACTGCTCTCCTCTGCGTCTGCCCCGGGGCTGGTCTCAGCTCCCTACTCATTACCTTCACAAGGACACGCCGGCGGACAACCCTGGTGGAGAGAGCCTCCTCGTCATCCGCCAGCCCCAGGCTCTCCCCGAGCTCCTTGTCCAGCTCGCGGTGGGCGTGTTTGAGCAGAAAGCGGACAGAGCCCCTGACGATGTGCATGACGTTCTGGCAGCTGACCAGGAAGAAGGCCAGCAGCACCAGGGCGATCAGCAACTGGGCCAGGAAAGCCCACATTCTGCCTCGGCGCGTGCAGCCGCACGCGTGCCCCGTGGGTCTGAGCCCGCCGCTCAGAGCCCGGCCATGCTATTCGGCTGGGACGGGCAAAGCCCCCGGGGCAGGAGCAGCCCTGCGGGTCTGCAGCCTGGCCGGCGCGGTGCCCTGGCTCTGCGGGACGACTGCTGTAACCCTAGCTGCCGCAGCTCAGCTGGCCGTGGGCGGTGAGAAGGGAGCGGGCAGGTGGGGCGTCCTTTGCGCTCACGGCTTCTGTCAAAGTCATGGGGCCAGGACTGCGACAGCACCACCCGTCCCCAGCCAGGCAGTAACCGGGACAGCCCTGTCCCCCTTCTCCGTCGGCTCGCCAACAACCTGTCTTCCTGGCTTTGGTGGGAGGGCAGCGTGCAGTCCTCTGTCACGGGACAAATGAAGCCCCGGGCAGGAGGCAGGGGTTCGAGGTGTCACTGGAATTGCATGTGACTCGGGAGACACGCACTGCAGAACTGCGCAACCACCTCCGAGCACGGCCGTGCTGCCGGGATGGCTGTGCGTGCCCTGGCCAGGGAAAGGTGCTTGACCTCACCTTGTACCTGCCGGCTCCGTGTGGCCGTGGCAGGATGCCCACCACCCAGCCTGGCCCCCAGACCAGCTCCATTTCTGGCTTCAGCAGGCTGTTGGGCCAGCAGCCAGGGCAGATACTCAATAAGGAAGCAGGCAGGGAGGCTGGCTGGGTTATAAATGGAGAGCAAGAGCTCAGGTATCAAGCACAGCAGGCTATTCTGGGCCCAGAGGCACCCCCAGGGGCAGGGGCCAGGAAGCGGGCCAGGAGACTTGTGCCTCTGCTAGCACCCGGTCTGCCCGGCTGGCCTTGGGGCAGGCTCAGGAAAGGGCTGTCCATAGGGTCTCCACCTCCTGCGGGGCTGGGCACCCCTGCTCTTACCCTCACCTGCCCAAAGAAGCGGCTGTCTGCCTCCTCCTGCCAGCCGCCCGTGGGGTGCTGGGGCTGCCAGTCGCTGTCCTCTGCGGAGCTGACCCGCATCAGCTCCACGGCTGGCACCAGGACCTGCTCTTGCTCCTGGCCCTGTGCCCCGGAGGCCGTGGTGTGCATCGGGAGCAGCCTTCGGGTGACCCCCTCCTGCCAGGAGCCCGCTGTCAGGTCCTGTAGGCAGGAGATAAAGGAGCCTTCTGCATTCCAGTCCCTCAGCCTGGGCACCGGAGAGGGACAGGGACAGGGAGAGAGAGACAGAGAGAGAGAGGCAGTCAGCTTTGCCGTGGAGTGCTGCACCCTAAGCACCAGCCTACCTCCGGCGGGCACGCCGGCGCAGCCTGCACCCCGCCAGGCGCTGGGCTACCCGGCTCATGGCACTGCCGGGCACCCGGCACAAGCAGCACAAAACGCGGATGCACAAAGGGCACAGGCCTCCTCCCTGCCACGCTCCCTGCCCACCCCACAGCCTCGCGGCCTGGCTGTGAGGGTCTAAGGCAACGCTGTGGAGCATTGCTGGGCTCTGCCAGGGACCTCATGGGACCAGTGCCACTGAGAACGCAGGAGGACGCAGCCCAGGCTGAGATGGCTCCAGTAAGCACAACCTACATGCAGGGCCTGGCTGTCTGCCTGGCGTCCCTCCCAGGTGCTCTGCAAGGAGCCCCCCAGAGCATCTCCAGAGAGGTGCAAGGCACTGGGACCAAGCCACTGCTCTGTCTGCCAGGGACGCCCGGGCTCCAGAGCTGGAGACCAGCAGAGAAGCAAGCGAAGCTGGGAGATAATAGCAGCTGGCTCAGCACAGGGCAATA